GGGGGGGGGGGGGGGGGGTAGTCTCCGCGTTCAACGAGTTTGGCCGCTGTTCAACAACCGAACAGCACCTCTATGATCCCACCGACCATGAACTACTGTTGTCAAGCGAATCAGCTGTGCAAGCAAGCACGTGGCAAAAAAACAACCCCATGTAGCGCCGACGCCATTTGTCAATCAGGACTCTGGAAATGGATGGAACCACACCTCTTCGTGGCCTCCCCTAGCCGCCCAATGAAGCGAGGTCCTGCCCTCGCCTCTCCCCCGCATAGGACAAGCCCCCCCGGGGTCGACGCCGCACTCGTGCAGTAGGTATCTGCGGGCGATTGCACGAGAATATTATACTTCCCCCAGATCGTTGACCACACACGGAGACACAAGGCGGGGTGTAGCTTTTACAGGCACAAGGACGCGGGATCGCGAAAGGGTGTGCGTCGACACAGGATTCTTGAAACTGGACGGGGTGGGGGGGGGCGTGTTCGTGTTTTGCATGATTTAGCTATTACACCATTGACCACGCGTCGTCCTTCCGTCAAGAGGACGGAGCACTGTTCCCACAGGACCCTTGCGCTGATGGCCAGTCGTTCCTCCCTACCTTGCAAAAGGTTCATCACAAATGTGCAACCCTATCCTGTCAACCTTACGTGTATCGACATACACTTCCCGCCTTCTTACCCCACTTCCTACGCTGATCGCCATCTCGCACACTCCTAGAGAGGTGAGGCAAGCGCGCGCGCACGCTGCCGTCAACCCCACCAACCTAACCTGCAAACTTCGAGCCTCCCCTCTCCCGCCGCCCAGTCCAGAGGGCTCGACCCGTTCTTGTCCAACGCGGTCTTGGGTGCCCACCCCTCTTCCTCGACCAGCCTCTTGAGCGCCCCCAGGTCGCCGGCACGGGCCGCCGCGAAACCGGGGAGGAGCGCGGCCGCCGCCCGCCCCTTCGCCGCGGCTCCGCCGCCTACGGCCGGTGCGCCACCGCCTTCCTCCGTCCCCTGCCCGATTCCGTTATGGCCGTTTCTTCTTGTTGCCAGGTCGGTTCCCGGTGCCTCCATCGGGGGCAGTGAGGCGCTCCCCCTCTGCAGGAGCTGCACGAAGTGGTTGCGGTCTTTGACCTCTAGGGGGTGGGCTCCGACCTGTGCGTTCGGTGGCGGCGGCAGCACACACGCGATGATTTGAACGGAGCGACGCCGTGGGGGCGAGAGAAAGATAGCGAGAAAGAGAGAGAGAGAGAGACAGAGTAGTCTCCGCGAGTACATTGGTTTTAGTAGGGGGCACGGGGTGGGTTTAGGGATAAGAAACATCCCTCTCTAATTCATAGTTTAATACGACCCCCCCCCGCTCATTACGAGAACAAGGAGGAACCAGTAGAACATAGATGGAAGTGGGGGATCGAGGAGATTGCAGTAGTGGACCAGTACACATACCTCGGAGTAGAGATCGCAAAAGACTGCTCGTGGAATGCACACATGTCCAAGGTAGCGGAAAAGGGCAAAGCACGAGCAGGGAAGCTGCACC